TGGTCTGTACTGAGGGGCCAGACTAAGAGCGTCCTTATTCACTCTTGGAGGGGCAGCTGCCTCCAAGTTTTATTAGGGACTGGAGGACCGTACTTGTACGATCCAAAAGTCCCTGCAGCGCGGGCAGAACGGGCTTGTGAGCCGGGTGAAGGCAACCGTTCTAGGGGAAAGAAAACCCTGATTGCAAACCCGTACTTGTCAGGACGTATAACCTGACATAATTGCGAGGGGCCAGTGTGCTTCGGCACATTGGTACAGGGGGCTCAGGCATCCCCGGCAGACCCTAGCCTAATACACCGTAACCCTAGGTCATGTCTCTGGGGCCGGGGATCTTGCCGGGGATCTTGCCTTAATTGGCCGGACCGCGAGGCGGGTCCTCTATAAAAGACCACGTAATCCTACGGTTGAGGCATGCCACGCTTAGGGGATGAATAGCAGGTGCGTGACCTGTCGCAAGTGGTTCCTCACCTTGAGCACCTGGCGAACCCAAGGGACATGCTAGCCTTACCCTGGGTAATGCGGGGGCTCTACCCGGGGTCGACGCACCCTTCCCGCCGTACTCGTGGGACCAAAATGAAGTTGATCCGCTAAAATAAACCAAACCCCGAGTCTACGGACTCAGAGCTTTCGGGCTCAAAGACCCAAATGGGCAGGCGTAGTAGCCTGCCCCAGGGCTCACCACCTGACTCGTCAGGTGATTTTCAAAGGAGAAGGTAGGGACAGAGAGGATGGGGGAGAATCATAAGGCGGGTGCCATCTTCCTACCCCCCGAGAAGAGAGAGCAAGTGGACCTCGGAGGAGTAGCCTCCGAGGGGTCACTAAGAGAGGGGACCCCATCCCCTTCAACGAGCGCTGGCGACAGCAGCTCGGTGATCCGCCCTGACTGTGGGGATTAGGGATCGGTGAGCCCGTCGGGTAGGCTAACAAGGGCGGCCACCCAACGTGGGACGTGCAAGTCCCTGGGGTCCGGGACTCCTGTGGGCCAGGGGGTCCCAGTACCAGGGGCCAACAGGCCAGGCCCCCTCTCCAAGAGGGGGTCTGTCCCCAGCGGAAAACCGGGGATAAAGGAGGAAACTCCCAAGGATGCGGGGTCCGGGGCGACGAGTGGGGGGGAGTAGGGTGTCTGGCCAGGCGACTGGTAAACCGGTCATCCGGTCGGATGTGATCCTCTCGCAGGGCTCCAGGATCCCGATAAGAAGGTGCACCGTGACCCTAGAAGCAAGGGTGACTCAGCCAGCAGCATCGAGGGCAGCCACTGAGGGAAGAGTCACTGCGGCGGTGCGGGAGTCGTCCAAAGCGGTGAGGATCAACAGGGCCTCGGCGCTCAGAATGAAAGCGACAGCGACGGCAACAGCGACCGCGACCACGAAGGCTAACGAGGAGGCCTTCCAAGTTGAGAGAAGAGGGCAAGGGCGGTGAACGTAAGCACCAGCAGCTTCGGTGGATCCTCTGTTGCCGAGTGACCGCCGCCCCTCTCCTGATCCTCCCCAGAAGAAACGGGGCAGACCCGCCACAACTGGTGAGGGGATGAGGAAGAGAGAGAGAGAGAGAGAGAGAGAGAAGGAAGAAAGGAGGCAGCAGGAGCTCAGCCGGTTGGAGGCTGAGGCCCGTGATCACCTCGACAGGAGGTTCTTTCGTTCTATGAAAGATAACCGCCCTGCCGAGGAGGTCTATCGAGATCCGGCCTGCATCGAGCTGCTCAGGGGGGCAAGGGCGGCCGAACTCGCCTCGGAGGTGGGTCGCACACTGGGGGTGGTAAAAATGATAGCCCAGAGGGCCAGGACCCTCAAGGGTACTTTTGTGAGGCTGATCAACCGCGACCTGGCCACCTCCGAGGCGGCGATGGCCACCCTTATCGCAAGGGTGGCGGTAATGGAGGGGGAGGAGGGTGAGTTCTCCTCTGTCCTCCGAAGGGAAATGGAGGGATTGAGGGGGATAACAGGAGGATGAGGGCTGAAATGGGGCGGCAGGCTGAGGAGCTGAAAGCTCTAAAGACTGCCGCCCCGGTGACCCTCAGCCTCCGGGACTACCCCCTCTTCCCTCCAGCGTCGTTTCAGATCAAAGGAGGTGGAGGACCTACGCAGATGCCACTGGGGGCTCCACGTCCAATGAGGAGGAGTTGTGGGACGCGAGGACACTCGAGAGGAAGAGAAAGAAGAGGAAGAGGGCCAGACCGTCTCCACCTCCCTCATCTGAGGAAATTGAGGAAGGAAGAGGGGCCTCCCCCGGAGGGATTAAGTCGTATAACGACAACCTCCCGGATGAGGCTCCCTTCGCGTCTCGGAAGCCGGCGAGGGCTAGGGAGGACCTCGACGCCACTCTCAGGGCGCTGGGCTCCCCTCCCGGCGTCGGTGTGGGGGTGGACAATCCCCCCGTTGGGGGGGTGCCAGTCCGGACACCCCCCAACGGGGAATACAGAGGAGGGTATCCCTCTGGACACTCTCCCTACGAGGGACCCACTCAAGGAGGAGACTCCAGAGAGGAGAAGCGGAGAAGAGGACGAGGTGGCCTCCATGGTGGTAATATCGCAGATGTCCCAGGAGTGGGGGACAATTAACACGTGGGACTCCCCGTCCAATGACGAAGGGAAGATGGAGACCGCGCCCCTGGTGCGGAAGAAGAGGGCTGGGACGGAGACTTCAGGGAGGAGGGACTCCGACGAGGACCTAGCCCCAAAAAGGAGGGAAAAGGTAAGGTTGACCTCGGAGGACGAGGGACCCCCAACAACTGTAGACGGGGAGTCGGTGGGAGTGTCCCCCCCGAATCCCCAAGTAGACACCTCCCCATACCCCCGAGGGGAAGGTCGGGTAAAGGTAGGGACCTCCCCAGCCTCTGCGCACTTAGAGGCACCCGCATGTGAAGCCACCGAAGTTGAGGCCAACGCCCCCTCGGGGGAAACTGAGACGGCCCCGCCGTCTGACGTCTCCCAGGAGGGGGTGGAAGTAGATAGCCCGGAGGAGGCGAACAAGGCTCAGCCTTCATGCCCCTCCGGGAACTACAGGCCAACCTCGGCACCGGCCATCGGGCCCAAGACCTGTTCTGGAACAGGATCCTGGAGCTCGGTGCCGGGCTGGGGGTGGCGACCGAGCCGCACTACGTGCCACCCACCAGCAAGTGCTGGTTCGGAAGTAGGGACGGCTCGGTCGCCATGGTGGCAAACCCCGCGGCGGGGGCCCCCCTGTGTAATCAGGGCAAGGGGGTCCTTGTTTGCGGTCGACTGTGGGCCCATCACGGTGGTTGGAGTGTATCTCCACCACGTAAGAATAAGAAAGGTCTGGAAGACCTCGCCCGTGTTATGAGGGTCCTAGACGGGATCGGGGATGTGGTGCGAAGGTACCATTCCCGACCCGTCATGATTGCCGGGGATTTCAACGCCCACTCTGAAGGGTGGGGATGTAATCCCCGGCAAAGGGACCCTCGGGGTGAGGCTCTCATAGACTGGGCAGTGGGGCTTGACCTCTCGTTGATAAACGAGGGGTTCGTCAGCACCTATGTGCGGCTGAAGGGGGAGTCGGTCATTGACTTGACCTGGGTGACCCCTTCGGCCGCCCGGTTATTCCGGGAGTGGAAGGTGGAGGTGGAGGGCGAAATACTATCGGACCACCGATACATAGTGTGGGCCCTCCGCCTCCCCGGACCTCCACAGGTGCTGGCCCCTCACTGCCCCGGCGAGGGAGACTTTCCCCTCCCCAGAAGATGGGCCTTCAGTCGACTAGACGCGGATAGGTTCAGGGCGGCCGTTTTCGTAGCCACCTGGCACTTTAACAAGGAGCCAGGTGAGTGGGCCCTCAGCCCCCAAAGGGGGGCTGAGGAACTAGTGGGGATAGTGGCGTCGGCCTGCGACGCCGCTATGCCCCAAGCCCACCCTCGCCGTCGCCGGATCGCATATTGGTGGACGGAGGAGATCTCGGAGCTCCGAGACTCCTCCGTCAGTGCCAGATGGCACCTGTACCGTACCCGGCGAAAAGGCGAGGACGTCACGGGAGCGGCGGAGGCCTACCGGCTGGCCCGGAAGGCCCTCCGAATCGCCATCGCCGAGTCAAAGCGAGTAGCCTGGGAACAAATGACGAACTCTCTGCACGACGACCCGTGGGGACGCCCGTACAAAAGAATTATGGGCAAGGCCCGCTCTTGGGCGCCCCCGCCAACGGAGTCGTTGGACAGCCGGGCCCTCGAAGGGCTCCTCGACACCCTCTTGCCGAGGGTGGAAGGGGGCCCACCCAGGATCCCCGCCCCCGATCTGGGGGAAGGGGACTGGGACGAGGGTCTGGCTGTGTAACCGGAAGAGCTCGTCAAGGCCCGGAGAAAGCTCGGGACCAAGAAGAAAGTCCCTGGCCCCGACGGATTTCCTGGCCGGGCCTGGGCTCTCGCGCTCGGCGAAGAGAGCCTATCCGCCACCATACGCGGAGTTTTCAGCGGGTGCCTAAAGGAGGGAGTGTTCCCCCCAGCGTGGAGGAGGGCCAAGTTGGTCCTCCTCCCGAAGGATAGCAAGACACCCGGGAGTGCGCCGACCTACAGGCCGATTTGCCTGCTGGACGAGGCGGGCAAGATGCTGGAACGCGTCATTGCGGACCGCCTCGTCCAGCACATGTCCTCGAAGGGGTCGGATCTCCACGACCATCAATATGGCTTCAGGTCCGAGAGGTCCACACTGGATGCTCTCCAGCACCTCCGGGACCTGACCGCGACGATCGTGAAGAAGGGGGGCGGGGTGTTGTTGGCGGTGTCGCTGAACATCAAAAATGCCTTCAACACCCTGCCCTGGCCGGAGGTGGCGCGGGCCCTCGAGTATCACGGGGTGCCCGCCTATCTCCGGCGCACGATGGCAGCCTAGTTCGAGGGCAGAGACCTCGCCTTCAACCGAGAAGGCGGGGTTCAAGATCGGCGCGCAATGGAACACAGTGTTCCGTAGGGGTCGGTGCTCGGCCCTCTACTATGGAACATCGCGTTCGACCGGGTGTTGCGAACTCCTCTCCCCCCCGGCTGCCACATCGTCTGCTATGCAGACGACACCTAGTGGTGGCGGGGGGAGGAGCTGGGGGGAGGCTCGCCTCCGCGCAGAGACTGCAGTGGCATCGGTGGTGGGAACCATTGAGGGCCTGGGACTAAGGGTGGCGCCCCAAAAGACTGAATCCGTGTTTTTTCACGACGACAGTCGAGGGGCGCCGCCTGAGACCCGGTTCCTAGTCGATGACGTCCGCATCCGCGTCGGGCCGACGATCAAGTATCTCGGCCGGACGTTGGACGGCCGTTGGGACTTTGGCCAGCACTTTAGGGACCTGGCCCCCAGGGTGCGCAACGCAGCATTGGCTGTTACCAGCCTGCAGCGCAACCTTGGGGGCCCGGGATGGAGGGCTCGCCGCCTGTACACGATGGCCGTGCTGTCGATCGCACTATACGGCGCGCCGATATGGGCGCCCCAACTCAGCGCCTGCCGCGAAAGCCAACGGAGGCTGAGGCAGGCGCTGAGGCCCATGATGATAAGAATGACGAGATCGTACAGCACGGTCTCGTACATGGCGGCGACCACCCTGATTGGCTTCCCTCCCGTGGAGCTCATTGCGAAGGAGAGGGGGATCCTCTATTGGAGGGTCAAGGAGGCTCCACTAGGGGGGGGCCTAAGAGCCAGGGATGTGCGGACCTTAAAGTCTCAGGCTGTGGCCCGTACCCATGCAATGTGCGCGGACATATTGTCCGACCCTCGGGGGTACAGGCCCGATACAGCGGAGGCCGCCCGCCTCTGCCTGCCGGAGTGGGCAGGCAGGAGGGGATGCGGACTATCCTTCCATCTGGTACAGATACTCACAGGCCATGGGTGTTTTGGCAAGTATCTGCACCGGATAGGAAAGGAGCCCACCACTAGATGCCACCACTGCCCCGCGCTGATGGACACGACGCTCCATACCCTGGCCGAATGTACGGCCTAGGAGGAGGAGCGCCGTGTCCTGGCCGGGGCAATGGGATGGCGCGATGGGGTAATCTCGCTCCCGCGCATGGTCGCAGCCATGTGCGGGAGTGAGTAGGGTTGGAAAGCGGCGGCCTCCTTTTGCAGGGACGTAATGTCCAAGAAGGAGGCCGCCGAAAGGGAGCGCCGGCCACATCAAACCCGTCGTCGCCGGCGACAACGGGTCAACCCAAAATTTAACACACCATTTTGACACACTAACGCGCACAATATATATATAAAATCACATTACACCAGTTTTAATGATAAAATTGTAACTATTGAATATTGTTCAATTAAGAATAGGTTCCATTTTCATTAAATCACATCAAACTCCCATGAATCCCTGGTAGCTCCACCGCAGATGAACCCCAGAATGTCCGTGCGAATTATCTATCGGTAGCTCCCCACGGGAGAGCTCCTCCTTACAGGAAGTAGACTTAGGATCTGGAAGCTCCACGCATCGTTGAACCCTTGTCTTGGCAGCTCCGCGCATTGTCGAGCCCCAAGCTAGGTCACCTTGTTATAGCTGACACTCCAGAATAGATTTTAGTTTTAAGAATCCTTCAGGCAGCTCTAATAATCGAGCTCCATTATATCCTCAGATTTTCTGGTAGCTCCAGAACAGTAGAGCTCCAAATACCTTTTTTTTTGTTTTTGATAACGCAGGGGAAACCCATAATGGGTACCCTTCACCCCCTGGGAGGGGCGGAGGGTTATATGAGACTTTTACTCACTAAAACCCCTGCGGGGTGTCTACCAGTCGGACCGAGATGGGGGGATCAGGGGAACTACGCAAGTATTCCCTCCCTGACACCTCGGCCCCAGGGCTCATAGTCGAGCTCCACGCCCAGATGCCGCGCCCCCATTCCCCTTGAGGAGAAGGTATGGAGCGCGGCGCCCCAGTCGGCTGAGCCTCACCGGTTGGCCTTCTGGTATCACATATTAGGAGGAAGGGGACATCCACCCCTCCTCCTTACCCCCACCCTCCTTGCTATTCAAGGGGGAGGAGGGTTTTGGGTGAGTGGGCCCGGGCCCAACCGGGACACCACTCCCCCTTGTCCTACCTGTCCGACCGCACGGGGGGATTTAGGGAAACCTAGTCCCCCCCCGTCCGGACGGAGGTGGGCCTGAGGCGGCCGAGGAGTCTCTGTCCCATCCCTGTGGACAGGCAGGTCCTCCTCGGCCGACGCCACCTCGGGCCTGCTGCCGATTCCCCCTTCTAGGGACCGCCGATCAGTGCGTCGCCTATTGTGACGCACCCCTGGTCGGCGTCCCCACTCTGCGGCCTCCTTCTGCGAGATGGTCTCCCTGCAGTAGGATGCCGCTGCGTCCCACGCTTCCTCGCTCCCGCACATGACCATGACCATGCCCGGGAGCGAGAGTTCCCCCCTTCGGCACCTCAACGCCCCCTCGTGGACCCGGCGTTCCCCGTCCCATGCGGAGCATGCGGACAGGGTGTGGTGCGCCGTGTCCTAGAGAATGGGGCAGTGGTGGTATCGAGTGGTGGGCTCCTTTCGTATCCGGTGCAGATACCGATCGAAGCAGCCATGCCCGGTCAGCATCTTCACCAGGTGGAATGTCATTCCACGTCCCCTCCTGCCCGTCACTTCAGACAGGTAGCGGCAGACAGCCGCGGCCGTTGTGGGACCGGACACCTTCAGGTCGGACAATTCGTCCTTCCACTTCCGAAGGGTCCGGTCCCTGGCCTGGAGTTTCAGCCCCTTCAAATCCCTGGCCCTTAGCGTTCTCTCCGCGCGGAGCTCCTTCACCCGCCAATAGAGGATGCACCTCTCATCGGCAAGGAGCTCCACGGGAGGGACGCCGGCCAAGGTGGTCGCCGCCATATATGACACGGTCCGATACCCCCGGATCACGCTGATCAGTACCAGCTTCAAGGCCTGCCGGAGGGAGCGTTTTCCCCTCCGGCAGACCAAGAAGCTTGGCGTCCATATGGGCGCCCCGTATAGGGCGATCGAGAGCACGGCCGTGACATACAGGCGGCGTGCCATCCATCCTGGGTCCCCCTGGGCGCTCATGAGGCTGGCGACCGCCAGGCCTGCCTTGCGCACCCTGGGGGCCAGGTTCCCAAAGTGAGGCCCGAAACTCCAGCGACTGTCCAGCGTCAGGCCGAGATACTTCATCGTCGGCCCGACGCGGACTTGGACGCCATCTACAAGGACCTGAGTCTCCGGAGGCGCCCCTCGACCTCTGCCGTAAAAGTATACAGCTTCGGTGTTCGGGGGCGCCACCGATAGGTCCAGGTCCTTTATGGAGCCCACCACCGATACCAGTGCCGCCTCCGCTCGGAGGCGGGCTTCCCCCCAGCTCTCCCGCCCGGCCTCCACTAAAGTGTCATCCGCATAGCAGATGACGTGGCAGCCTGGGGGAAGCGGAGTTGTCAGCACCCGGTCGAACGCGATGTTCCACAGTAGGGGGCCCAAGACGGACCCCTGCAGAACACCGCGTTCCATTGTGCGCCAGCCTTGGACCCCGCCCTCCACTGGGAAGGCGAGGTCCCTGCCCCCGAAGTAGTCCGAGAGGATACGCCGGAGATAAACGGGCACACTGTGATGCACGAGTGCCCGACCTATCTCCGGCCACGGCAGGGTGTTGAAGGCGTTCCTTATATCTAATGATACTGCCAGCAACACCCCACCCTCCCTCTCCACGACCACCTAGGTCAGGCCCCGGAGACACTGGACTGCGTCCAATGTTGATCTCCCGGGCCTGAACCCATATTGGCGATCGTGGAGGTTCGGCCCCTCCAAGGACAGGTGCTGGACGAGGCGGTCGGCAATGATGCGTTCAAGCAACTTGCCCGCCTCGTCCAGCAGGCATATCGGCCTATAGGCAGACGCACTGCCGGGTGCTTTATCCTCCTTGTGGAGGAGGACCAGTTTGGCCCTCCTCCACTCTGGGGGGAATACCCCCTCCCTGAGGCACCCACTCAGTACCCTGCGGGTGGCCGCGAACAGGTTTCCCTCGCCGAGTGCGAGGGCCCAGGCGCGGCCAGAAATCCCGGGGCCAGGGCCATCGGGGCCAGGGGCCTTGCTCTTGACCCCGAGCCTCTTTCTGGCCCCAGCGAGCTCCTGCGGACTGACCTCCAGGCCCTCATCCCAGTCTCCCTCCCCCATTTCTGGGGGAGGAAACCTGGGTGAGCCCCCTTCTACCCTCGAAAAGAGGGCGTCCAGGAGCCCATTGAGGGCCTGCTGGTCCAACTGTTCGGTCGGTGGGGGCGTCCAAGGGCGAATCTTCGCAGTCACCCTTTTGTAAAGGCGCCCCCACGGATCGTCGTCCAGGGAGCTCACTAGTTGCTCCCAGGCCGCTCGCTTTGCCTCGGCGATGGCTACTTTTAGGGATTCACTCGCATTGAGGTAATCCCTTTTTGCCCCTGCGGCATCCCCGTATTCCCGCCGGGCCCGTGTCAGCTGCCTTCTGGCAGCTATGGCGGAGCACCTGAGCCGCCGTAGCTCCTCGCTCCACCAATACGTGGCCCGGCGGTGACGGGGGCGGGATCGGGGCATCGCGACATCGCAGCACGACGTCACAATGCCAACTATTTCCCCGGCCCCTTTACAGGGGTCGGGGTCTCGCCCTCCTGGCACCCCTCCCAGGTATCAGGATGCCACAAGGACAGCCGCCCGAAACCTGTGCGCGTCTAACCGATTGAGGGCCCATCTCTTGGGGAAAGGGAGCTCCCTCTCCCCTGGGCGGCGGATGAGCACCTGCTCGAGTTTGGGGAGGCGGAGGGTCCACATTATATGTCTGTGATCAGACAGTGTTTCCCCCTCCGCCTCCACCTTCCACTCGTGGAAGAACCCGGCGGCCGAGGGGGTCGCCCAGGTCAAGTCAACGAACGAGGCTCCGCCTCCCGGCCGCATGCAGGTGCTCTCTGAGCTCTCGTTCATCAGATCGAGGACCAGTCCCGCCGCCCAGCCGACTACGGTGTCCCCCCGGCGGTCCCGCTGCCGGGGACTACAGCCCCACCCTTCCGAGTGGGCATTGAAGTCCCCGGCAACTATGACTGGTCGGTGATGGCACCTTCGCACCAACTCCCCGACCCTGTCCAGGACCGCCTTAATTGGGGCAGGACGACCGGCCCTGTTTCTGCGGTGGGGAAGATATATCCCCACCACAGTAACGGGCCCCTAATCGACTGCCACGTACGAGAGTCCCGATTCCCTGAATGTACAGGGTGGGGCCCCCATCGCAGGGTTTACCATCGAGGCCACCGAGCCGTTCGGACCGCCGAACCAGTTTGCGCTGCGAACCGGGATCCAGGTCGGCTCGGTGACCACTGCCAGCCCGGCGCCCAGCTCAGTCATCCTCTGTATATACAGAGGTCCTGAGCCTAGGCGCCGCGGCCGACGTCGGCCTGTAGGGCCCGGAGTGGCGTGAAGGCTATACCTTGCACGCCTCCTCCGGGCTGCCTACTTCAGTCCCCCCTGGTCATCCTCCGACGGCTGAGCCGTCTTGGATTCCCCGGGGGGGACTTCGGCCGTGGTGGCCCCTTCTGCAAGTACCTCCGCGGAATGGCGGGGGGTCCCTACTTCTGCGACTCCTTCCTCTCGGGAGTATCAGGAGGAATCGTTTGAATGGGGAGATGGGGGTGGCGTTCCCTCCTACGGTCGTTGGGGGTAGGCCCGTAGCTCCACCCTCCTCATCTTGGAACTTTGTCCCTCCTCTGTGACTGGTCCTTCGTGTTGCACGTCCCCAGTCAATAGGTCCAGTTCCGGGTCCGGGTCCTCTCTCCGCTTTCTTTTCCTCCCAGCTGCTGCTGGTGGCTCCTCCCCCCATCCTTCCAGGCCCGGTGTCGTCTCCGGCTCCCAGTCGAATTGGATGAGCGGTTGGTCTTTCGTGGTTCCCGCTGGGGTGAGAGCCGGTGTTTCACTACCGCTCGTTCTCCCCTCTTGGTTCCCTCTGGGTTCCTCTCTGGGGGAGGGGACCCGCTCCCCTCCCTTGGCTGCTCCGATGTAGGTC